GTACGATGGGTTTTTTAACTCAACTTGATATTCGAGTTGTGGACGATTTGGGTGCTGCACCAGGAGGCAAGGTTGTGGACGAGTATGAAATTAAGGAGACAGATGAAGAAAAAGAGAAGAGCATGGCGAAGAGGAGCTGGAGTTGGAAAAACTGAAAAGGGAGGAAGAGGAAAACGAGAACAACACATATCGGAAAAGTCGAAAGTCCGAAAACTTCATTTAAACCCAAATCTGCGCCGAAACCCACTCTTGATTTCTACGACCCACTCCTCAGCGTCGATGACACTGAATTTGACCATATTTCGTCTTCACCAGTCAAAATCATCGCCGTGGATCGACTCGTCATGGATCCCATTCCTGGTGTACACATCTTGAAAGCTGATTTCTTACATTTGCAAGCCGAGTCACTAATTTGTGCCCTTATTTAGTCCAATTACAACCTCACTCTGTTCTCCGGTTAAAAACTTCCACTCGCAAAATGCATTGTACTACACCGAGCATTAGAAGTTCATCATCGGGCTCCTATTGCGCGCACGCTGATGCATTAAAGCCAACACGTTCGAGCCGGACTGAGCATTATTATAACCGTATGTAGCGACTTTAATTGTAATTGTTGACGCGCTGAAAGCCAGGATGTTGAGGGCTTAGAAGAAGAGAAATTGCACGACGAAGAATTACTGGCACGAGGACAAATGTTACCTTAGAGTCTGTTCGGCAAACGGCAACTGGATTCCTGATCAGATTCCACCGCCATAGTATACCGTATTTAGAAACCAGATTCCGTGCAATAATATTATGATTTTTGCATCCTGTACATCCTCCCTGCCTTTTACGATGATGCCACAAGGCTCAGAAGACTTCTCACTGTAGCTTATTATTATTTCACTGCTGTTGCTTTCCTTACCGTTCTGTATGCAACTCCTGGCTACTTGGCCTAGCCATATCATTGAGTCTCTGGACAGGCATGAGTGAAAGAATTCATCACTGGGCATCCAGACTGGTATACTGCACTTGTGGTGTGCTAGGTGCTGAGGCATTGTGTTCATGTCATTTTCAGACCAAAAAGCAACCTGCTGTTCTTTTCCTGTTCTCTTTCCGACGTTCTCGACAGCCTCTTCAACCTTCAGAACCACGTTTCTGGTTCAGCAGGGCCATCCTCTATTCCTTTCTTCCCTTTCTTACCACCTAGCCTTCTTTCCTTTGGCTTGCTTTCGGTGCTGCTGGTGCTTTTGTGGATTTAGTAGAGAGATTCCTGGTTTTCTGACGCGTTTTTTTAATAGGTATTTCTGGTGTATTATTGGGCCCGGGATCATGCTGGTCCATGCCAGCCATGTTTCCGGCGATTCCATGTGAATAGCGACGTTCATTCGACAAGCAATAAAAGAGATGTACAAAATGAGTGAAGAATCTACACGGAATCTGATTTCTAAATACGGTAAATATGGCGGTGGAATCTGATCAGGAATCCAGTTGCCGTTTGCCGAACGGGCTCTTAGCGGTAAGCAAAAATGTTAAATGACGCCGACCAGCATCCGTTCAACTGTTAGTCTAGTACTGCCCCGAAGAGGCTCCGACTGACTTAAAGTTTTACTGGGAGATGTCAAATTGCATGACAAGAGATTGGTCGGGTGAATCTACTCCCGAACATGTCACTCCTTTAACTGCTCCTTTAACTGGTCAGCAGAATTGCAACTGCGCCGACTTGGTTCCACCTTGTCACCCATGTATAAAACGAGTTTCCTCTTGCTCTTCAGTCCAACACCTCCTTGAACACACCTCCTTGAACAAGATGTCTTTCTTGAAGCTAACCCCCACCCACCACCGAGACACCTACCCTTCCATCTCACCTACCAAACCCTCCCTTACCCAAGCCGGTAAAACCATCCTCATCACCGGTGGCGGTGGTGGGATCGGGTTCGAGATCGCTCGCTCCTTCGCGAAGGCCTCCGCATCCAGAGTCATCATCGTAGGTCGGAGGGCCGGGTTTTTGGACGAGGCTATTGGGAAACTTCGAAATGAATTCCAAAGTGGAGGAACGGAATTCATGGCTCACCAAGCCGATATCGCCTCCGATACCTCCATTGCCTCTCTCTGGGAGTTCCTCCACTCCCAAGGCATCCTCGTACATGTCCTGGTTCTCAATGCAGCCCACGTCAAACCTATCGCACTCGACACCATATCCATAGCCAAAAAGGAACTCATGGAAGCTTTCGACATTAATGTCGGGGGGAACTTTCTCATGTCGGCCAATCTAGTCAAACAGGCTCTCCGTCCCGCGGGGCTTCAGCTTGTCCTCCTCAATGTCTCGACGGGAGCCATCCATACACCCGCACCCAGAGTCAGCACATATAGCATGACCAAAGCAGCGTTTACAGGGTTGCTAGGCCGTATTGCGAATGACCGTCCGGTCGAGGACGTTCAAATTATTTCGTTTCATCCAGGGGTCTTGTACTCGGAGGGTGCTGCGAAAGATTTCGATAAGGATGCCTTTAGTTGGGATGAATGTAAGTGTCTGCTCCGTGGGAGTCTACTCTAAGACACTGATTCTATTCTCCTCCAGTCGCTTTACCCGCAGATTTCTCTGTCTGGGCCGCGTCCCCTGAAGCAGCTTGGCTACACGGTCGTTTCGTGTGGGCACATTGGGATGTGGACGAGCTGAAAGCTGATCCCGAGGTTTTGAGGCGCTTGAAAGAAGAGCAAGGTTATCTGCAAGTTGGAGTTCAGGGTTTGACGGCTGCTACTATACAGCCTATGTTCGATGTTAAGAAGAATTAGCGGAATTGTAGGTTCACCGTGTACAAGTACACTCGCAGATTATCGTAGTACTTAAACAAGATCATTGACTATGTGAAAGACGGTTTCCCAGTCATGGATCAGTCCAAAAGTTCATGACGAAATAATTATAAGTCGAATGATTAGAGAAAAACATGAACATAGCTCTGCGACGCCTCATCAAAACCCACTTCATCGGATATAATTCTTCTTTGCCTCCTGTACTTAGCTCGAGGGTTGTGGGCGCTAATCAGTGATCTGTGGCAATTTTCACAGGCCGTACCTCTTCGAATTCCAAGTTGGACTTTTACATGCTTTACATCTCACGCGATTTCTGCTTTGACTCTTTCCTGCCTTCCAAGTATCAAGTACTAGTTCAGACTGGTTCTTGATCTTTGTATCTCTTTGAATGAATCTTGTCTCAGGTGATGCTGTACGGTCCTCAAGTACTTAGTAGCTCTTGTAGAAGCCATACAGAGCAGTATCATACTATACTTACGATACATGTACATAACTGGATCGTACATACTGCACAGGAATAATGATTAAAAAAAAGTAGAAGCTCTTATCTGTAGGTCTCTTAGACGGAAGAGGAGACCCAAGGGAACGGGAACGCTTTCTCAAGCATAACGGCTACTCCATACGAGATAGGTCAAGCAATCTGTTATGTTAATATGCATGCTAGTTCGGCTCTATCGACTATTACATGGATCTTACTATCATCCTAGGAGACTTGACGACAGATTCGAAGGATCGATTTCGAGCTGACCCGCTCAGCAATCTGTTCCCCGTCTCTCTTTGTGTGTTTCTACTAGGAAGGCGACGCCGAGGCACAAGACCAAGATCAAATTCTTACATGCTACGTCTCGACTCAGCTCAGTAAGTCTAAGCGTCTTGTATTGCGACGTCATATTCTCCGCTCTATTAATACATTATCGCCGCAGATACTGGGTGCTTTTTTCTGATTACCAGCCTAAATCGTCATCGGTTTGCTTTTCGACGTTGATATAAACAAGGAAATCCTGTTGTGAGGTACTCAACAACACCCCCATTGCAATAACGACCAATTTCTAAACTTATCAACTACTTTGAATATGTCTCAGGTATGCTTGTATAATTGACCAGTATCTCATAGCTCACTAATTGATACTGTACTTACAGCCCACAGATCACACCACACGCGACACCGCTTTGGGTGCAGGTATCGGTGGTGTTGCCGGCCATGAAGGACATCACGGCCATAGCTGCCCGTGACGCTGCCCTAGGTGGATTCGGTGGCCATGAAGCAGGTCATCATGGCGATGGTACGGCGTCAGGTCAGTGTATTTCTCATCGTGAGATTCTTTCTCTTCCCTTTTATTTACGATTTCTCTTCACTTGTGCAGGTACACACGGAAACCGTGATGGTCTCATAGGCGCCGGAGCAGGTGCTATCCACGGACACGGGGGTGGACGTAAGTGCCTTTGTACAATTCTGCTTGGGGTCCGGACTAAAGAAATTATTATGTATGCAGATGAAGTGAGAGACGCCGGTATCGGTGGAGCTGGCGGTGAGATGCTCGGAAGACATCAAGGCGCAAACGCTCCTGGGGCAGGTACAGATGGAGGAAATCCGAGCAAAACGCACGGAAAGATGGATGAAATCACGGGCAAGATCGAGCGTGGGGTAGGAAAGGTGACTGGAAGTGCTGGGATGGTGTATGTTTTTTTTGATTGTCATCCATCGATGGTTTATACTTAAGTTATTTCTTTCAGAAACAAAGGCGACAACAAGATTGCTGAAGCTCAAGGTGCCGTTATACAGTGATAAGCTGATACCGAATTGCACTGTTGTATCGCCCATTCATGTTTGTCTTGGGCGAAAGAAGAAGTCTATCAATCTAGATGTAATATATTGCTTGTACCTACCAAAGTTCAACTTCAGAAATCCATGAGTGAGGCCCTCTGATGCGGACAAAGCAAAGATAGTTGGCTGGCAAGAGTCTTTGGTCCGCAATCGGCTTCATTCTTCTTGACCTTTCATAATCAAAGTCAATGAGTCTACAGGTCGTGAGGTTCACAGTATCAGCTCTCGTAGTACAATTATGATGCAATGTCCCTCTCCCTTCCAACCTCTACCCACACTCTTCCCGGATCCTCTGAGTTCAAGCCGACTCTTGCACTGTCAGTAGTCAGTGAGTAAGAGTACGAAGATCGAGAGAACATCAGAGCAAGAAATATTGTGCGTAACACCGTTGGTGAAGTGGTTATCATGCTTGCCTTCCAATCACTGACGGAGCAAGCGGCTCGGGTTCGATTCCCGAACGGTGTATTGAACATGAGGCAGAGTATAGTTGTTTTTGTTCATCGCTTGCAGTAAGCGCCCAATCTTCGCCCAAAAGCGTCCATCATCATTTCCGAACACAGTCTTGCCTTGAACCGCATTTTCATCCCCCAGGCTCTAGTTGCAACTACATGCGCTTTGGAGAATGAAGTTTTTCAATCAGAGTCGTTACACGAGGCGTACTGCGCGATGTTACACGTAAATCCATCGATATCGATTGGATTCTCCAATTTTCAAGTGATATCTCCACATGCTCACCGACTAGAAGAAGCCCGCTGAGTTGAGTGGTACAGTAGCTTCTATTCGGTTTCGAACCACGCAAAAGTTCTGCTTTTTTCCTTCCATTTCTCATATAATTCACTCTATCGTTGGCGTTGGCGTTCAATTCGTCTCTGCTGACATTCAATGGCAATATCCAAGCCCGGTCGAGGTCATGACTCCTCTCGTTCTCGCGGTCCCGCAAAATCCTCCAAGTTCCATCGTAAACACCTCCGTACGCGTCCAGACCCGCGAGCACTCGACCGTCTCTCAGCCTCCACTCCATCCAACTACTCTCTATCCATACTCTCCTCACATACCTCGGACTCTTCCCCGACCTTTATACTGTCTTTTGAGCAGACTGGGAGCAAGTATGTGTTTGGGGGTATCGGGGAGGGAACGACGAGGGTTTATGCGAGTAGGCCTGCGGGGAGGGAGCTGGACGAAACCAAAGGAGTGTTTTTGTTTGGTGTTGGAAGTGCTAGTGCGGGTCTTGGATCTCTCCTCATGTCATTCGCAGACGCTGGCCCAGCTCCTCGCATGGACATTGTTGGTCCTCCCGGGTTGAAGCATTTCTTAGCGACGATGAGGCAGTATTTGTATAGGTCAGTGAACCCAATATAACGGTTTTTTTTTTCTGGCTTTCTGTGTTGAATTCGTTCGTTCGTTGGTCTTTTTTTTTCGTTCTTCTCCATCTCGTTTTGGTTTTCACTTTACTCGTTCTCGTTTTCCCTGGCTTGCTTTCCTATTACCATACTCTATCGATATTGGACATTTCGGTTTGTTATTTTTTACTCAAACGTCTAGGTTGCTTGTTCTTGTATGTAAGATTCATTGTTCCCGTATCTTCTCTGAGGGCTCTTTACTTTATTCATCACCTTGTCTCTTTAATTCTCAGTCGTCTTTCTACTTCTTTTGAGTCGAAGTCCAACGAAACTAACCCATCTCCCTCCGTCATTCTTGTGTACAGAGAATCCCTTGCTCTCATACCAACCGAAATCCCCTTTTCCGAGTTCCGACCCAAGTCTGCGAGCGCTCCAGGTTTTGCTACGGAGATGGAGACGACTCGGATTACTACTGCAGAGACGATGGAGATGGAGACGATCACAGCTCGGACGATGCAGCAGGAGTCTGCCTCTGCTTTTTACTGCTCCTTCGACTACGGTTACGACTACAACTATCGAAAACGGAGTCTTTCGAGCTCATGGAGGACGATGAGGTAGAGGAACTTTTGCATCTCGCGGAGGATGGGAACCATATCGCAAAGGAGGGAGAACGACGAGTTGGACTCGAACCAAGGCGAAATGGATACGCAGGAGGATGACCGAGACCCCAAACCAGTTTTCAAGGATATCAATATCGAGGTTTATGCGATTCCCGTGTATCCAGAACGCGCTTCTTTTTCTTCCCCTACTCCTACTCCTACCTCGACTGCTCCCGGGGCTGCGGTACTCGCGAACGTTTTTTCCGAATCCGGACCTTTATTGTCGTCGTTGAAACGAAAACGACCTTTTCTTGTTTTAGACGAACTTGAACTTGGTTCTGATAGAAATGGGGAGGTTCCACCGGTCAAGAAACTAGCTCTTCGTATGTGCGGAGATGGTGAGGATGCTGCCATGTCCGAGTCTAACGTGGAGACAAAGTCCAAGCCCGAGTCCGACTGGTCTAACATGATCTTGCCCTGGGCTGATGTCATGATAGACATTATGTTTCCTTCTTCGAGGGCGGCTAGGGAGTTGAAGGCAAATGCTGAGGCTGAGACGGCAGCTCGAGCCCTGGCAAGGGAGAAAGAAGCTTTAGCGAGGGAAGAGGGTGGTACTTCGACGGGGGCGCAAGAGAAGAAGAAGATAGCGGATATTGCTAAAGCTCAGGTGAAGGACGAGGATGAGGATGGGAAAGATAGAGAGGTGTATACATCTACGTTGGGCACCGTGCCTCTTACAGGTCCCGTTCTTGAGGTGACTAGGACAACTGCGTCTAGTTCTAAGGAGGAGGGTACCAACGTGAGGGAGAGTGTCGAAGTGAAGGCTGAGGAATCTACCAAAGTCACGCCTACTTCCGTAAACTCCTACGCCAAAGGAACCAACAAAGTCGGTGGGAGTATCGATAAAGGATGGCCTAGCCGCATTCCAAGGAAAGAAGAATCGTCTTTCTTGAATCCAGCGGTTTCGTTTGCTGAATCGTATCCGATGGGTAGTCGTGCTCGACCAGAGCCTGCTACGCCCAAAAAGCAAAAGGGAGGAGAATGGAAGCATAGGGACAAGTTCGCTCCGAAAGATGGGGAGCTTGCAAGAGAGGATATAGTCAAAGCATTATCATGAGCAGCTGCCGAGGTTTATCTTGGTTCCTGGTCTCACCTCCGAGTCTACCTCTACCTCTCCCTCCTCAAACGCCTCAAACTCGAACCCAACACTTCCACTTCACCTCCGTTTCTACCCTCTGCCCTAACCCTCTCCTACCTCATTCTCGGACCACGCCAACGTGGTAAGTTCGATGCTGCGAAAGCCAACGAGTTGGGTATACCCGGTGTGTTGAGGAATGTGCTTGCTAGGGGTGAGAGTGTCAGGTTCAAACGCCGTAGAAGGGGGAAGGGACGTCGTGACCGTAAGGCTAGGAATGAAGCTGGAGCCGGAGCGGAAACGAAAACGAACACCGGAGTAGATGACGCCAACGACCCAGCCAAAGACTCGGGGGATGAATACATAATCATCCACCCCTCTGACGTGCTCGGCCCCCCCATCCCACGTAGTGCTGTCTTGATATTGAACGTACCGAGTGTGGAATGTGTCGAATCGGTTATTGATGCGTTTACATCAACTGACGGGTACGCCAAGTGGACTGGATGGAGGACCAAGCCAAAGCCGGATATAATCCTTCGAACAGTCATCCATCTCTGCGGGGACGGTGTTTGGGAGGATCAAAGGTATCGGAGGTTTCGTTGCTGGGTTTGCGGAGAAGGAGGATACGCAGCACATCCTTTCCTCTCCGCAACACCTCCCCGATCCGCTCACCTTCACATCCTCAGGATATCACCTCCTCAAGCTTAACGCGCTTGATCCAGAGATATTCCGTGTTCCCAAGTGGAGAGTGAAGGCTGAGAGGGATTTTAAGGCCGAGGTTTTTATAGGGGGAGAAAGAGGTTAGTTATCTTTTGGTATCGCTTGCGTTGGAAATATCTAATCCTAAAGATCATTTTTCAGGCAGTCCTATCCCATTGCCCCGCAACCTCTCCCTCCTCAAACCACACACGCTAATCCCTCTGCGTCCAGCTGGACCGCCGAAACAGGACGACTGGGCAATCAAGGGAGATCGGTTTCATCGTCATTTTGTGGACGATGGACCTGTTGATTCGCCGAAGAATGATGAAGCCATTAAAGCTAAATTGAAGAAGGACTCGGACAACATTGGTGCTGTCGGGGCTGAAGCAGGAGCAGGAGCTATCAATATCGATATTGACGATGTAGACAACAAGTCTATTGAACATACGGAGAACGTGAACGATAACGTCGAAATCATGAACATCTCATCCATCCTCCCTCGTCTCCCCAACTCAGTCCCCTCCTCGCTAACCCTCAAATCCCAAACAGCAGCGGCGTTTGCGCAGGGGAGAGCCAGTGTGAAGGCGTTTCAACACCAGAGCGCTATGCATGAGGTGGGGAAGGAAGTGAAGGGTTCGGATGTAGGCGTTATCACGCTTGGAACGGGGAGTGCGGTTCCCGGAAAGTATCGGAATGGTAAGTACATCCCTCAGGCGTTTGTTTCCAGTTTCTTGTCTTCCTTTCTCGAGTGACTCACAACTAACCAACTTGCTCCTTCTCTTTTAGTGTCAGCAACAGCAATAACCATTCCCACCTATGGAAACATCCTCCTTGACTGCGGAGAGGGTACTTGGGGACAGCTTTGTAGGTTTTTTGGGACCGAGAAGATGAGGAGCTCGTGGGGTGCATCTGCGGATGAATACACCTCTACCTCTTCGGCTTCTGGTGCTGGTGCTGGTACTGGGATCGAAAACGCAACAGCCCATGAATTCCTCCGAAACCTCAAATGCATCTACGTCTCTCATGTTCATGCGGACCATCATCTGGGTGTTGCAAAGGTGTTGGCTGAGAGGAAGAAGGTGGGCTGCCTGCATTTGTAACTGTTGTTCTCCCTACTCATGCTTCACAATGATAATGATAATGATTCAGCTCAACCCCCCACCCACACACCCCTGCTACCTCATCACCATCCGCGCCGTACACATGTACCTCCGTGAACTGCAGGATTTGGAGGATCTTGGGCTGGTTTTGGATCCATTTAATGTTGAAGTCAATGCTTCGTCTAGTACTAGTGGAGGTATTTCATCTAGTAATACTAGTAGTAGTACTGCTGATGCGAGTGGAGGGAACAAGAACAGCATAATCCCAGTCCTCTCCCCCGCCTTGCACTGGAAACAATCCGATGAGTATCTGGCAGATGGAATGTGGAGTGTTGGTGGGACGGAGGAGTGGTTGGATTTGGGGAGGTTGGCAATATTTGTTTTGTTTCATTTATGCATCCTGTTGACTTGCCTGTATGATCTCTCTTGCTCGTTGCTCCTCCCTCCCTCTTTTCCCCCCTATAGATCCCGCGCACACGCCCAAGCAATGTGTCATTCTCTAAACCTCAAACAATTCCTCACCGTTGATGTACGACACCGAACGAGATGTTACGGTGCGGTCATTAGGAGTGAGGATGGTTGGAGTGTTGTG